CCAGCTGCAGGCCCGGTCCCAAGGAGGAGGAACCAAAAGAGCCATGTGAGGTTAATTTTACAAACTCTACCATGTATGTCACAGAGAGTAAGAGAGACAGGTACAGTTTCCTCTACAAGAAAGCATTCGTTCATTCAAGAAACACCAACTGATCATTATTTGCACCAAGAAATGGGCTAGATGTGGAGGATGCAAAATGAAACTCAGGTCTTTGCCTTTAGGGTTTTCATTTAGTGGCAAGGCAGAGGAGAAAGCCAATAATCAGAGCAAAAATGTGCTACAGATCCACAATCCAAAACTCTTGGGGCCAGATGTGCTTTGGAAAGCAGAATTTTTTTTTTTTTTGCATTTTATTAAAGTACTGTGTTGTGGGGCTTCCCTGGTGGCGCAGTGGTTGAGAGTCCACCTGCCGATGCAGGGGACACGGGTTCGTGCCCCGGTCCGGGAAGATCCCACATGCCGCGGAGCGGCTGGGCCCGTGAGCCATGGCCGCTGAGCCTGCACGTCCGGAGCCTGTGCTCCGCAAGGGGAGAGGCCACAACAGTGAGAGGCCTGAGTACCGCAAAAAAAAAAAAAAAAAAAGTACTATGTTGTGTGTGTGTGTATGTATGTATGTGTATATATATATATATATATCATACATTATGTAACACTGCCAGTAGAGGATAGGGCAACACACTGTCATCAAACCCATTAATATTTCTACAGCCAAGCATGTGAATACACACACTAAATGGAATAAATAAAGACTATAAATAGCCTCATGTCAGTTCAGTTCAGATTTTTGCCATCAGACGAGGTTTTTGCCCCAAATGGGATTCCTTCAAATTTATAAAAAATGAACGTGAGGGCTTCCCTGCTGGCGCAGTGGTTGAGAGTCCGCCTGCCAATGCAGGGGACGCGGGTTCGTGCCCCAGTCCAGGAAGATCCCACATGCCGCGGAGCGGCTGGGCCCGTGAGTCATGGCCGCTGAGCCTGCGCATCCGGAGCCTTGTGCTCCGCAACGGGAGAGGCCACAGCAGTGAGAGGCCCACGTATCGCAAAAAAAAAAAAAAAAAAAAAAAATGAATGTGAAATGGCAGATAAGGGCTTATGCCTCCACCCAGAGGTCAGGGTCTGTCCAAAAGTCAGGTGAAGATCTATTGATTCCATGCAAACTGTATCAAAATCCCAGTGGCATATTTCACAGAACTAGAACAAATAATTCTAAAATGTGTATGGAACCACACAAAAGATCCTGAACAGCCAAAACAATCTTGAGAAAGAAGAACAAAGCTGGAAGTATCACAGGCCCTGATTTCAAACTACACTGTAAAGCTACAGTAATCAACACAGTATGGGCCTGGCACAAAAGCAATGGAAACCACGCTTATATGGGCAGTTAATATACAACAAAGGAGACAAGAATATACAATGGAGAAAGAGCACTCTGCTCAGAAAATGGTGTTGGGAAAACTGTACAGCCACATGCAAAGGAATAAAACTAGAACTCTGTCTTCTGCTATACACAAAAATGTATTGAAGACTTGAATGGAAGACCTGAAACCATAAAACTCCTAGACGAAAACATAGGCAGTACCCCCTTTGACATCGATCTTAGCAATACCTTTTTGGATATGTCTCCTCAGGGCAAGGGAAACAAGAGCAAAAATAAACAAATGGGACTAGATCAAACTAAAAAGCTTCTGCACAGCAAAGGAAACTATCACCAAAAGGGCAACCTACTGAATGGGAGAAAATATTTGCAAGTCGTATATCTGACAAGAGGTTAATATCCAAAATATATAAAGAACTTACACAGCTCAACAAAGAACAACCCAATTAAAAACACGGGCAGAGGATCCAAATACACATTTTTCCAAAGAAGACATACGGATGACCAACAGGCACATCAAAAGATGTTCAGCATCAGTAATCATAAGGGAAATGCAAATCAAAACCACAATGAGATATCACCTCACACTTGTTAGAATGACTATTATCAAAAAGATAAGAAACAGCAAGTGTTGGGACTTCCCTGGCAGTCCAGTGGTTAAGACTTCACCTTCCAATGCAGGGGGTGCATGTTTGATCCCTGGTCAGGGAGCTAGGATCCCACAGGCCTCCCGGCCAAAAAACCAAAACATAAAACAGAAGCAATATTGTAAAAAATTCAATAAAGACTTAAAAAAAAAAAGAAAGAAAGAAACAGCAAGTATTGGAGAATATATAGAGAAAAGGGAACACTCATACACTGTTGGTGGGATTATAAATTGGTGCAGCCACCATGGAAAACGTTATGGAGATTTCTCAAAAAATTAATAGAAATACCATATCATCCATCTATCCACTTCTGGGTATTTATCCAAAGAATGTGAAAACACTAATTCGAAAATATATATGTTCATTGCAGCATTATTTACAATAGCCAAGACATGGAAACAACCTAAGTGTTCACTGATGGTTGAATGGATGAAGAAGATGTGGTACATACATACAATGGAATATTATTCAGCCATAAAAAAGAATGAAATTTTGCCATTTGCAGCAACATGGCTGGACCTTGGGGGTATTCTGCTAAGTAAAATACCCTATGATTTCACTCACATGTGAAATCTAAAACAAAGCAAAACAAAACATGAACAAACAAAACAAAAAAGCCCTTATAGATACAGAGAAGAGATTGGTGGTTACCAGAGGGACAGGGGACTGGGGGATGGGTGAAGGGAGTCCATTGTATGGTGGTGGGTGGTAACTACACTTTTGGGACTGATCACTATGTAAGGTGTACAGATGTCAAGTTACAATGCTGTACACATGAAAAAAAAAGTCAGGTAAAGAATTTTTCCTGGAGGAGATATCACTTGAGCTGAAACTCAAAAGATCGACTGGTATAGAAGGAGATCTTTCCAGCACCCACCAGACAAGCCACCTACAAAAACTCGAGAAGCCCATAGGGCAACTAGAGCCAGTCCCAAGGGAAGCAGGGTTCCTGTAGCTCAGGTGGGAGATGCAGGCATAGCCGGGACCAGGCAGTGCTGACCACCTGCCTCAGATTCACCTGGGGATGGGTGATAAAAATTAAAAAACCTCAGGCTCTCACCTAAAGCCCCTCAGAAAATGGAGCCCTGTAAACTCCACTTAAATAAGTTATCCTGGAGATTCTTATTCGTGCTGAAGTTTCAGAACCACTGATTTATTTGAAACACCCTACGTGCCAGGCAGTCTTCTAAGCTGCTTTAGAATTATGAACACATTTGATCCTCCTGACAACCGTACTATGTAGGTGCATTGTTATTTCCATTTTGCAGATGGGGAAATCAAGGTACAGAGATTTTTTTAAAACTCATCCGAGGTCACGGAGCCTGTAAGGGATAGATCAGGTGGTCTGGTTTCAGAGTTTGTGCTTTAACCGAGTGCTGTCTTTGCATTGATTTTGGGCGTCTTCCCCCCACGTGCAGCCAAGAGCAAACCTGGGGCTCTGGCAACCTGGAACGCTGAGGAGGCGTCTCTGAAGGTGCAGATCACGCCCTATGTCCCGCCCACCCCATCCCGGGGACTGGACCACACACAGAGCTGTCTCAGGGAAGAAGAGGAGCTTTGGTCTTTCACCCCTGGGGGCTAGAAGCCACAGAAAGAAGTTGACCAGTTTGCAATAAGCCTTTTGGCCCTGGGGTTCAAAGCCCATGTTGCTCTACTCTTTATCTGTGTTACTGATATCTGTTTCAATAGCTTCTGTTTGAGTAGATGGAGCCAGAGAGCTGGGATAGGGGGTTGGAGTAGGCTGACCGGATGGTCAAGCCTGGAGAGCAATTTGCCCTCTTCTTGTGTCAATTCCAAAAGGCAGGGTTTGGAAATCAAGTCAACAGAGAGCTTTTCTTCATCTCCACACAAACAGCCGTTATGCAGTGTTTGGAGAGAGTTGGGCAATGCTGGACCGAGCTAGGTCAGAGGAAAAGTCAATTTTGCCTTTAAATCCCTAAAGCCAGGTTTGGTTTCCATGATTCTGTCACACGCCTACAGCTCACACCAAAAAGAAAAATGCTCCAGGCTTGTGTATATCCCCCTCCCCCATCCACCCACCAGTGAACTACTGTGGGCATTAGAATGTTCTGGAACATTCTGCCTTTCCCCTCACACTGAGTGACTGTCATCCTTGCACAAACCGTCACCAAGCAACCTCTTTTTGATGGCCCCAGAGTTCTTGTTCAAGGAAAACTGCTCTCAAGCTTAAGCCAATTTGGAAAGCACTGGAGTCGCACATGAAGCAAGAAAAATGGCCAAACGCCAGGGATAGGCAGAGCAGCCATCTACTCAGAGGATTTCAGAAATAGAGGGGGAACATTAGAAAGTATTTGCTCCAAACCCTTTGCTTCTACAGATGAGGAAACAAAGGCTCAGAGAGGGGAGGTTTCTTGCCTGAAGCACCCAGCTCGCACATGGAGAGGCTAAATCAGAGCCCATTCCCTCAACGCCCAGCTGGTTGGATTTTCCCACCACACTATTTAGCCTCTCGTCATTTGTCTTCTAAAACTTCCCAGTTCACATTCTTAGTCATCCATTCAGCCTTTTATTTATTCTCTGGAGTATCTTCTATGAGCTAGTGAGGGGCTAGACCCTGAGCACGCACCAATAATAAGGGGCTCCAGTAAGAACTCTTTATGGTTTGTCCTCCCTCCGTCTTCCCTTCAGAAATGGCACTGGGTGTGGTGTCGCCCCTAACCAATTAAAACAGACTCTCTGGGGCTGAGCTCCACACATGGGGAGTTTAAAAATCTCCCTGAGAGAATCAAATTCTGTAGCCAAAGTTGAGAAGCACGACTTGAGAGCACGGCTTTGGGGAGGTCACGAGCCCCAATTCCACAGAGGCCCAGGGAACTGGGACGGTGGGGCTGTCCTCGCCTCCAGACATGGCACCCTACACCCCATGGGGCCCTTATACTGGCACAGGCACCCAGGGGCACACAGGCTGTGATCACACAAGCTGCCAGAGGGCACGTCAAGCCGTCTGGCTCTCTCACCTCATGCCCTGAGGTGTGTCCTCACGCGGCTGTCGGTTCTGGGGCTCGGCAAGTGGCAGGCTGGACAGCAAGCTAGGCTTCTCTGCCAGTGCATCCTCACAAGTGGCTCCTGGGGATGCCTTTCGCCGTCTACCAACTTGACCTGGGGCGGGCGGAGGGTGGGATGTGGTTAGGGGGAAAGGAAGTGACTTCTCAACAAGAGCAGTGCTCACCCCACCAGCTGACCCCTTGCCTCCTTCCAGCCCCAGGGCTCACCCCACATAGGCCAGGGTAGGGGGTGCCAGGACCTGATGGGAGGTCTCCTTCGACTGCCCGGACACCGGGCATCGTTCATTGATAGCTTTGTCCCTTGGCTGCAATTCCAGAACAATGGGAAAAGTTCCACATAACAGTCTACTACTCACCCAAGAAAAGAGAAAGACGAGGCTCTCCGTGTACTGGCACTAAATGATCTCAGAGCTATGTTATAAAATGAAAGTGCAAGCTTCAAAACCCTAAATATTACGGCCCCGGTTTGTATTTCAAAGGTGGTTATAATATACACGTGTCTGTGTTCATAGTCTATACAAGAAACATAACAATGGTTGCTTTGGGGTTGGGGTCTGGGGTCTTACTTTCCACTGGGGGGCTCCATGGATGGTTCAGAGCAGGCACCCGGTAGAGTTAACCCCCTCCCCTAGGCTGAGAAGGCAGAGAGAAGGCCCAATTTAATGTGCCTTTACATCCATTTAGCAAAAGTAAGAAATGAACAAAACAGTGCGGTGATGGACATCACCGATGCATGTTGCATACCAGAGAGAAAGGGGGCGTAGATGCCAGCAAAGGGAAGAGCACATGTTACTTTTACAGAAATAAATCTGCTAGTCATGCATCACCAGCTTCTAAAGAGGATGAGAGGCAGCTTCCAATAAAAGATACTGGTGATTACATATCCTTAAAAAACAGAGGAAAAGGAACAAGAGCCAGTGGAAAAGTGGAGAGGTGGCGAAACGACTGTATCTAGGACTTTAGGCACAGGTCTTTTTTATTAACTGAGGTAACACTGGTTTATAACATTATATAAGTCCCATGTGTACAACATTATATTTCTACTTCTGTATACACTACAGGGTGCTCACCACCAAAAACTGAGTTTCCATCCATCCCCATACAGTTGATCCCTTTACCCATTTTGCCCTTCCCCACCCTGCTCCATCCTCTCTGGTAATCACTACTCTGTTCTCTGTATCTGCATGCTTGTTTTTTGTTTGGTTTGGGCTGTTCATTTGTTTGGGATCTTGTTTTTTATATTCCACATATGATTGAAGTAATATGGTATGTCTTTCTCCATCTGACTTATTTAACTTAGCATAATACCCTCAAGGTCCATCCATATTGTTGCAAGTGACAAGATTTCATCTTTTTTATGGCTGAGTAGTATTCCATTGTACACATATATACCGCATCTTTTTTATCCATTCGCCTGCCGATGGATGCTTAGGTTGGTCCCATATCTTGGCTATTGTAAATAAGGCTGCCTGTATCTTTTCAAATTAGCATTTTCACATTCTTTGGATAAATACCCAGAAGTGGGATAGCTGGATCATATGGTAGTTCTAGTCTTAATTTTTTGAGGAATCTCCATACTGCCCTCTGCAGTGGCTGCACCAATTTATAATCCTACCAACAGTGTATGAAGGTTCCCTTTTCTCCACACCCTCTCCATCACTTGTTATTTCTTGTCTTTTCGATCACAGCCATGCTAACAGGTGTGAGGTGTTGTCTCATTGTGACTTTGATTTTCGTTTCCTTAATAATTAGTGATGTTGAGCATTTATTCATGTGCCTGTTGGCCATGTGTACGTCTTCTTTGGAAAAATGTCTATTTAGCTTCTCTGCCCATTTTTTAATCAGGTTGTTTGTTTTGCTGTCGTTGAGCGGGGCACAGGGTTTTCTCTCATACTCATGAACAAATTACTTGGCTGTACGACGTCTCATTTAAACATCACAGCCATTGAGGGGTGGGGTGCTGTTACCAGCCCCACTTTGTAGATGTGGACACCTGGGTCAGAAAGCTGACTTTCTCATGTCACACACCAGTCAGTGGCATAGGGGGCCCAGGCTCAATTTTTTTCATATTCTGACTTTCTTTCTTCCACACACATTCCCAGAAGTCTCATACCCAGAGATAGTACCGTACGAGTACTATCAAGACTGCCATTTAGGGCTTCCCTGGTGGTGCAGTGGTTGAGAGTCCGCCTGCCGATGCAGGGGACACGGGTTCGTGCCCGGGTCCGGGAGGATCCCACATGCCGCGGAGCGGCAGGGCCCGTGAGCCATGGCCGCTGAGCCTGCGCGTCTGGAGCCTGTGCTCCACAACGGGAGAGGCCACAACAGTGAGAAGCCCGCGTACCGCAAAAAAAAAAAAAAACAAAACACTGCCATTTACTGATGCCACAGGGCACCCCATGCATACATTGTAACCACACCCCCAAACACGCACTAAATCTATCCTCTCACCAACTGCTATGTGCTCCTTTTTATTATTTCAATTTTGAACCATGTGAATATAATACCAACTCCAAATAGTGTAAGCGATCTTACTACTGTCTGATCCTTTTCCATTCTGTTTCTGGCTGAGACTATGATCAACTAATCCATATTGAAGTGCTAATGCATTAATGGGCCACACACTCAGAAAAGGTGTTAGAACTTTATCGGGGGCCTTTGGAGACGAAGCCTCAGCTGAGAGGTTTCTACCACTCTCAAACCCCAAAGCACCACTTTCCTTCCCATGGCAACCACCATGAGCAACTTTCTCAGACGTCCTTCCAGACACAGTTTACTCCCCTCCCTGTATTTATTGACATGGAAGCAGGTTATACACGCTGCTGTGTATCCTGCTTTTTTTTTAACCTCATACAGCTTTAAAAGTGTTCTAAGAGTTTTTAAAGAATAGATCTTTGAAATTCGTTTATCAGTTTGTTTAAAAATCCACACATTTCACGATTTTAATGGCTCCAGAATATTTCACTCTGTAAATATACCCTATGTTAATTTGACCAGTGCCTTTCTAATAGATATTTGGTATGTTCTTATACCTTGCTGTACAAGCAACATTGCAATTTTGCACATTGTAGGATAACTTCCTGAAAGTAGAATTGTGTGTCAAAAGCTACAGGCATTTGTAATTTTGAGAGCTATTTCCAAACCGCCTTGCGGTAGATGGTGCTTGTTCCTCATGCCCTTGCCGACAAGGTAAAGCTAGCAAATTTGTACAAAGAGGCAAGCATGGGATGCTTAGGCCCTGTGTGCTGTCTGTAGGGGCTCGTGGCGCCTGGGGAGAAGCTTAAAGGTGCTGGGGCTTGCCCACGAGAGGTCAGGCTTCACAGGGGACATGAGAAGCTCTGAGACCAGCTCCCCTCACCTCTCAGTCCTGCCAAAGACGGAGCCAACAGAAATGCCCCATGATCCACAATATCAGTGAGGTTAGTGCCAAGATCTCTCTGCATCTCATCGAGGAATGGTGAAACCCAAGTGTGTGACTGAATCCCACCTGCTCAAAGGCAACTGCCCAGGTTTGCTCATCTTCATGCACAGGTGGTCGCTTGATAGTCGACAGCACATGTGGGGACAGTAGTATAATTAGTTCCCACTCTCCTGGCAAGAAACTGGTTTCTCCAACAAGGTTGTGAAGTTAAGAGGGGAAAGCTTCATCTTTGCCTAGCCCTTCCCCCTCACTATGCCCTGAAAAGGTGGTTTGATTAGTTGGAGCCTCCAGTGGTGGCCTTTGACCACTGTCCTCTGGGCTTCTGGTCAGAAGACAGACACCTCTTTAGCTTTCTGAGGACAAGGCTGGCTGCTACCCTTGTTCAGCGTCAGGCAATTTTCTAGCCAAAGTTTACTATACTTCTTTGGGGCTTAGATACTAGTGTGAAGTGTCAGAGGCTAAAACTGCATCCCTACCCTTCATGGTCTCCCTTATCTGTGTTATGCTGTTGGCAGAGATATGGCCTATTTCCCAGCAGGGAACGACTAGAGTGTCTGTCAGGATCTAAGGGATCCTGGTGCATCTTGATCTACCCTGGGATAAACCCTCCCTGCCCAGCTTGGCTGGAAATGTACAGCCACCCCAAGCGACCAACAGTCGTGAGGAGAAGGGTTGAAAGGGAAGCTATGAAGCAGAGGATGGGAAACTGTACTTGCCACGAGGTAACTGAATCAGAAAACCCCAATGTCAAAGCTTCAAAGAGGTTTTGTCAACCAGCCTCTTAGTTTTCCCAACGAGAAAACTGAAGCCAAGCAGGTAGGAGAACTCATCACAAAGCCAGTCTCCACTGAGTTTGGGACGCCCCGTCGGAAGGTGGTAGGAATTTCATGGAGATTGACCTTTCGCCCTTATAGTGAATGGCGGAAACATTCTCCCTCACTTAAAGTTTGCTATGACGCCAACCCAACCGACGACTATGAGCACAGAAGGTTTGTGGAAGGTCTAGAAGCTTTTCTCATTTCCCAACCAAATCAAAGTCGGCTGCACTCAGTTCAGCCTCCCTTGGAAACACGTGGCTTGGCAGATGGGTCCCCAATGGGAGTTTGGTGAATGCCTTCCAAGGTGATAATCATTAACAGCAAAGTACGCTTTAAGGCAGATTAATTAGGAAGAATGCTCTTCAGGTTGATCCCCCCCCCCCCAAATTTAAAGGGTATTGATAGTCTAAGAAAGTAGAGAAATGATTCTTTGGTGCCAACTCTACTGGGCATTTCTACATTTCTCCTCTCCTCCTTTCCAGCCACTTTGGCCAATAACTCCTGGTGCCTCTAGACAGCTAACCAGTCTGGTCTGCCCCTTCCACGAGTTACTCCAGCAGCTGCGGGTTCATCTCCACATGCCATCTCTTACCAGCCAGCTGGGTCCCAAATTCCTTTCCATTTAAAAAAAGATTTTGGTTTCTATTTCCATTATTGGTAATATGACCTTGGACTTTCCCATGTCTATACTGTGCATGTCAGGCTCGAATTCCAACTACTGGCTACTAGCCAGCAAAAGGGAGCATCTTTCCAGACCCAACGAGCAATATTTTCACATTCTAGTAGCATTCAGGATGCAACTATATTCAAAAATATATTTTGTATATTTTTAAATATATGAAAGCAAAGTCCTCTACATAGGCACAGCCTATAATCAATGTCAGATATTAAGTGGTTAACATATTGATGATTTTGGGTACTAACATAGTTTGAATACTGTTTTATTATTTTAGGAAAGGTTGTAATTTGTCTTCCAATCAAGCTCTTTAAATGGCTTTCTGCAGCCTGCCAAACTATTTCCTGAATTTTCACCAGTAGAAATTCAGTCCTTTGTGTTTACCCTTCTAGAGGCTCCTCTTTCAAAATGTATAGCCCTCAGGAAGGAGTAGCATTTTTCCCTACATCTTAAAACTCAACTGATCTCCAACCAACTGCTTATCTTCTACTGAAGATCAGCTTTTCTCTAGTGCTCCAGTTACTGTTTACTAGTATTACTATTTTGAGGATGGGGGTTATGTCTATGTCATTCATGAATATCTCCAGGGCTTGGAATGGGTATGCAATAACTACTTATTGAATGAATAACACATCAGCCTGCTATGTCAGATCCTTTGCCGTAAACTAGCAGTTCTTAAGTATTATAGCCCCTTTTTAAAAAAATCCACAGAACTTTTAAGATCTAGTGATTAAGAAACTGCATAATGACAAGTTATTCAGACCTGAATTATTCTCAATGCAGTAGAACACTGAAATAAATGTTTGTTTCATCAACCACAACAGCACCCACATGTATTCAAAGGCTTGGTGTACATGTGGATTTTCAGGCCTTTGCAGCCTCTCTGAAGCACCCCTTCCTTATATCTGTAGCCTACAAGAGGGGATGGAAAACTCACAATTTTGCCAAGAGATGGTCCTGTTCCTAAAGATTAATGAGAAGTAAGAATGATGCTGAAAAGGGGGGATAATAAGGTAGTCAGTATCTGGAAATTAATTCCCCCAGAACACAGTGGTTTTTATTCTAGTGGTGGGTCAATATTAAAGTCTAATGTTGATACATGGAAATAATCACCATGTTTGTGCACCCCTATTCCTGGGAGTGGAGGGAGGCCCAGAGCACAGATGGGAATATGGGCCGCAGACCCATGTCCTACAGAGCCTGGAACTCCCATGACTGGTGTTCAGATCTGCGAATCTTTCTCACTTCTTTTCACTTTGGTCCCCATCCCCAACCCCACAATGAGGCAGCTCAGACAGGAAGTGGTGGCAGCTGGTGTGGCCCTTTGGAAGCAGAGATCACAAGAGGCACCCATAAGCTTCTATCCAACTTTAGCTCTAGCTCTGTCGCCCCCACTGTGACCATCCCTCACCTGGACTTCACCAAAGCCTCTTAATTTCCTCTCTTGCCCTTCTCCATCCCCCTCTTCTCACTGCTGAATACATGATCCTGTCTAGATACAAGTGATACCCTTCAATAGCTTCCCAGCGCTCTTGGGATAAAGATGAAACCCCAACCTGTGCCCCCGGGTCCTGCTGGATGGCACCCTGCCTACCTCGAGGTCTCACAGGGCGCCTTCTCCCACTCTATCTGCTCCAGCCACGGGGGCTCGCCTGCCACTGTTTTACACCTTCACACGTGCTGTTCCCTCTACCTGGTATCTTTCCATCCCCATCCTTTTGCCCAGACAATTCCTATCCCTCCTTCAGAGCTCAGGCCCAACATGGCTTCCTGGAGGAAACTTTTCATGACTCCCCTGCTAGATCGGGCCCCCTTCTTATACCTGCTTAACACCCCAGACACCTACGCTGCAAGTACTCTGAGCTGAGTGACCCCCTTCCAGGGTAAGTGAAAGCTCCCCTAACTCCAACCCTGACCGGCCCTCGGACTGCCGAGGATCAAAGCCCTCAGCTTCCAAGGTCACTTCTGTTGGTGCTTGCAGCTTTACCGAGACCGCTCATGTCAAGCCAGCAGGCCTGCATCTGTACAGAAATCCTAGTCCTTTGATGTCGCGCTGCACCTGTCCTCAGCTTTTGGACGAGAGACCATGCCCCCCTCATCTGTTGCCCGTTCAGCAGCCTTGGAGCTCTGCTTCTGATCACACCTCCAAGCAAGGTAAAATCCCAAATGCAAAAGGTCACTGCCCCCACCTCCCAACCACTAGCCCACTCCCCAAGGAACCACCATCAGTGATATTCTTTGTATCCTTCAAGGAAGAAAAAGTATGCTATTACCACCAAATAAATATATATACAGATGCACGCAAGTATTTCTATATTTTTACTTATACCAAATGTATTCTGATATATTTTGGACTGGGGAGGCATGGGATACACCATCCTGCTTACCCCAATTCCTGGTCTTTTTCTTTTTCTGCACAATTTTACATTGTATGGCTGTGTTATTACATTATTACTTCGTATGCTGTATTATTTATGTAACCAGTCTACCATACAGTAGTCTGCTTTTCAGTTTTCTGATCTTACAAACAATGCTGCAATGAATATTTTTATATACATGTCTTACTTTCCTTTTGTGAATATATCTATAAGTTCCCAGTAATAGAATTACTGCACCAAGAGGGGTGTACTTCCAATTTTAATAGACACTATCAAATTATTCTTTAAAAAGTAAACCATTAACACTTCCAGCACAGCCTTTGAGAATGGCAGCTTGTCCACAGTGTGACGAATACTGGATATTGACCAACTTCTTAGTTTTAACCTATGAGCTCACTGAGAATTGATCCTCATCGACCTCTCTATAATGATGAATGAAGTTAACCCTGTTTTCATGTGTTTATTTTGCTGTAAATTCCGTGTTCATAGCCTCTCTTTTCCTCATTTTCATCTGGAATTATTCAATCTTGATTTATAAGAATGTTTCCTAAACTGAAGAGGTGGGGCTGTGGTATAGATTGCTACTTTTCCCTAGATTTCTTTTTCCTTTGACTTTTATTATTTTAATCATCTAATGTTAGAAAGTCTCGATTTGAGGCTCTGTGTGCTGCTTAAGAATGCCTTCCCTGGCCCAAAATTATATACTTTTTTTTTTTTTTTTTTTTTGCGGTATGCGGGCCTCTCACTGCTGTGGCCTCTCCCACCGCGGAACACAGGCTCCGGACGCGCAGGCTCAGCGGCCATTGGCTCACGGGCCCAGCAGCTCCGCGGCATGTGGAATCCTCCCGGACCGGGGCACGAACACGCATCCCCCTTATCGGCAGGTGGACTCTCAACCACTGCACCAGCAGGGAAGCCCCTATATACATTTTTATCAGTTTTAAAGAGCTGGACAACTGCTACTGTCTGTCCTAAAGATTCATCTGGTGCCTACTGATCCCCAGCCCCCTTGAGACACCACAGTTTAACAAAACACTGACAGTTGATCTTCCTTTTGACAGTCCTTGCTGAGATCTTCCCCTATGCACACATTCAGCCAAAACAGCCAATATACTTGAGGTTAATTCAATTGATGTTTTTTCCTGGTTCCAAACTGTTCTCTGGGTTATTGATTACTTCCAAATGCCCTTTGCACAGCCTGGATTGAAGAAAACATCCCATAAACTCCGGTCTAATTAAAGCCCTGCTCTTAAAACACAAGAATCTGTTTGAATGCTTTTCCTAAAGCTTTTGGAGAAGCTGACTTCCCTGGTTGTCTTTAGTCTTCTACGTGCAGCACCATCAGCTAAACCATTCCTAAGAGTAGTTGGGATTTTGCTGATGGCCTGCAGGTGAGCTTTATGTGTGGTGGGGGAAGGGGTAAATGGGTGTGAGCTTCACGGGTGACTGGTAGAGGAGATCACAGCAGCACAAACCTGGGAAAAAATCAATATTTCTAAAGCTCTGGCTTCATGGGACCTTCCCCCGTGATTTTTAGCTCATAATGTTTTAGAGTTTATAAACCCTTTCATGGAAATCAGCCCATTGTTGTTTTACAGCAATACTGAGGAGAGTCATATGTTGTTCCTAATATTTTTATGTAGGAAAATAGAGGCTCTGGGAGATGAAGCTAACACAGCTGGGAAGGGTTAAGCTGGGTTGCAAATCTCTTTGTTACGACTCTGAGTCTACTGGTCCTTCCCCAGTTCTCCCTGTCCTACCTAGTTACATCAACTTTCACGTAACAGAAGAGCTAAGCTTAAATGCAATGCTTATTAAAATAATCATGTGCTCTAAGGAACGAAGAAGTAACTCTAAGGAAGCTGACTTTCAACCTCCAAAAAGAATGGAGCCAGGTCAGTGTAGTAGCAGCACAGGGTCCGGCAGCCTCCTGGAATACATTCGGAAAGGGTTGCCATATAAAATATAGCATCCCTAGTTAAATTCACATTACAGATAAACAATGAATAATTTTTAGTATAAGCAAGCCCCAAATATTGCATGGGACATAATTACCCTAAAAAAATATATTTGTTTATTTGAAGTTAAAATTTAACTGGATGTCCTGTGTTTTTAGTTGCTAAATCTGACAATTCTAATTGAGGAGAGACGGTTTGTCGATACGTATAACAAGATTTGTGATATTCTTGGTCTGAGGAGGTATTAGCTGAGTCGTAGCAGTGACTTCCTAATATAGAATCGAGAAAGGTCACCTTGTACCACTTAAGATCTCATAGACAAGGAATACTTTTGCCCATTTTGCTTGGAACCAAGCTAAAAAGTTAATAATGCAATGTATCAAAGTCTTTTAAAAATTACAAAAGATGTGTGCAATTATTTATCTTTAAAGGTGGTCTTTGCATCATTCTGAAAAAAATAATAATTCTGAAAAAAAGGAACCAACTTACTTCAAAATTCCCTGGTGGCGCAGTGGTTGAGAGTCCGCCTGCCGATAAGGAGGACGCGGGTTTGTGCCCGGGTCTGGGAGGATCCCACACGCCGCAGAGCAGCTGGGCCCGTGAGCCATGGCCGCTGAGCCTGCGCGTCAGGAGCCTGCGCGTCCGGAGCCTGCGCGTCCGGAGCCTGTGCTCCGCAATGGGAGAGGCCACAACAGTGAGAGACCCGCGTACTGCAAAAAAAAAAAAAAAAAGAATAGGGTTTTAGTGAATAATAAATTCAGTCAATGGAACACAATGAAAGAAAATGGAATCCAAAATTATTTTTAAGAGTGTTGATACAAGACATTCCTTGACGCAGAAGTATGTTGAGGATAGAATATTGAATGAAAAATACAGGTTGCTATATTATCATATTTTTGCAAAACAACTGCATTTTGTCTGTTAAAGCACACCTTCCCCCCTCATGTTTTAGCATCTCTGATATTAGGATGCCTTTAGGACTTAATGGCATGATCAGTGTTATTGGCCAGGCAGCAGACATGGTGCAATTGTCATCTATGTGCATGTGAGAACTCAGTGATCGCTGGTCGTGGTGTCAGCTCACTGAGCTATCTGCATTGTTGGTACAACATCTTCTGAGTCTGCCATTTAAAATATCTTCCAAGATTACGCTATGATTCAGCATTGAAATGAAAAGTTATTTTCTGTGCAGAAGCATGGAAACAAAGCCGAAGGGACTAAATTTGATTTTAGCAATACAAATTTTCTTTTTGTCTTGGAGAAACAATAACAGTTATATATTGTTTTGCAAAGCAGCAAACAAGCAAGCACATTACAAAACCCAAGAAAGGAACAGACTCACAAGTAGATGAAGGGGTGCTGGATTTTGTTACTGAGAAATGTGCAAAAGGATTGCCAATTACAATCTGGCCAAGGAAAGCAACTGAGGACAATTAATTTGTTCCTGGGCCAGTTAAACAGGGAGAGGGAAGCCTGGGGCAGAGCTTGGGTGGGCAGCCCAGCCAGCCTCTGGGGACCCTGGCCGCCTTGTCTGTCCTGTTGGCTTTTAATCCAGTCCAGGCAGCTAAAACAGAAGGCAGGGAGAGATTGAGGGGCTTCCACACGGTGCCTGGGACTCCCCTGCTGTCCCTCTCGAGGGCCAAGGCAGCTGAGTGACAGAAGGAACGGTGGTGAGCGAGAAGGCATGTTGCTGTCACTTAATTTGCATTTTATCTGTTATCTGGAACTTACCCTGGTCACTTGGGAGCCTCAGGCAGAAGGAAATCCTCGGGGCTCAGGCAAATACCCGGCTTTGCCCTCTGAACTGGCCCCAAACCTCTGATCCAAGGACCCCAGCAAGGCGAGGAAGGGGATTTAGAGCAGCTGGAGTCTATAGTCCCGGCTGCAGAGGGAGCAGAAGCCATGAAGGAAAAGGCCTGTGGTCTCCCGGGATGATAAGCCATCTCATGCCCCGCCCCCCAACAGCCAGCTGAGTGTCTTTTCTCTCAATACTTTCTCTATTATACCTGCCCAACCACAGTAATAATAATATTTGAGTGCGTACTACGTGTCAACCACTGTGCTAAGTATTTTATATACATCGTCTCATTTAATCCTCACCATAGTTTGGGAAGGTAGGTTTTATTATCTGAACTTTACAGATGAGGAAATTTAGGTTCAAGTTCACCCAACAAGTGCAGAAACAGGAGTCAAACTTCAGATTCTCTGGCTACGCATCCCCTGCTCTGAAGCACCACTCACAGGACATTTCTCTGGACAAAGACCCCTGACTGCGGGCTGTCCTCTCCTGTCTAATCCCACGATTGTTGTTTTACTGCTGCTCCTTGGAACTGCTTCCTCTCTCCACTTCCCACCTACATACCCAGCAGCTATCAAAGAGCCATCCCACATTCCTGTTCTGTGCCCACAGTGGCTGCTCAGCCCTGGGAGTCACCCCAGGATCCCCTGTGCTCACAGAGAGGACATTCAATCCCCTGTGCCACCCACAATCCCCTGTGCCCACCACTAGCAGATACTGTCTTCTAAACACCACCTTGGGTCCACTGGTTCCCCATGGTTGGGTGAATTAAGTAAGCCCTTTGCCTCAGCATGCCCACTGAGGAATGCTGGGACCTGTGCCCGTGTTCATAGGGCCTGGCCCAAGCCCAGATCCAGCTTTATGAAGCCCCCCTCCCACAGAAGGCTGGCAGGGGCTAGGTCTGAGACGCCTGCTCTGACCCCTGAGTCCCACCTCTACTGCTCACTGAGGGGATTATGCGCACATGATCTCAATAGAGTTAATAAGCAATTCTAAAGCCACGCCTCTTCAATTCAGCTGTGAGTTCATTGAGGCCTTGCCCCTCACCTGATACGAGCAGTCATCAGTGGTCTCTCTCTCTGTGCTCACCAGGCCCAGGATGGGGGCTCAGCAGAAACACTCCTGGACTGGATTTGTGTCTCAACCACACTAATCCCCCTGCCTGACATCTGGACTTTAGGAGCTGTGTGGGGCAACAGCACAAGAGGCATGAAGGGGACAGCATGATACTCCCTCAGGGGTCCAGGTGTGACAATAAGACCACTGATCAAAGAACTGGTTTGGCATCTGGCTCAGTGGATTCTGGAGCTGGTGGCTCTAGAACAAGCTGAGTGCCGATTCCATTCTCTGCCTGACTCGAAAACAAAAGTGAAACAGAAAGCAGCTGCAGCCAGGACAGAAAGCAAGTTAATTAACTTGATTTTAAAAAATCCTCTCCATTGAACGTTGTTTTAATTCAGCGTCATTCTTGAGTTGATTCTACCAATACCTAAGTGTGCCAGAAAGTGAGGGTTGAAGAGGAAACAAGGGTAGAGAAAGTTTTTTGGGGAGGTGCCAATGGACAGGACTCAGGGGAGAACCCAGGGTTGGAGTTCAATGTTTGTGAATGTGCAAGGGGTAAAGGCCACGGGGGCAGGGAGCAAGGAGAGGAGGGAAGATAGTGACCTGCATAAAATGATGGGGCAGAGTGTTTCCCTGTACAGCTCTCCATCAAAGTGGGGTCTATGAGAAACACACTCAGGGATGGGCACGGAAGCCCCAGTGCATAAGAGGAACACATACCCAGGATTTGCACCCTAACTTCTCAACCTAAGACTGAACCTAGAGGGAAACGGGAGGAAACAGAGGAACATTAATACAGTGCCTCTGTAAGTGGCTCTGAATTTCCTGCCAAGTTTCTATTTCAAGGATTCCACCCAAGAATATATGTTACAAACTATTTCACATAGCTGGCCTTGGCCTTTGAGAAAATTATAGCAGAGGCCACCAAGCCGGGGTGCATTTGAGATTGTCCAGAGTATGTAGTTAAGATCCTGGCCGCCAATTAGAATGTGTGGGAAAGTTTTCCACACCACCAAGCGATTCTCGGACACCAGCTGGGTGTCCTACAGTTCAATTTTAACACTATCTACTTGGAGACAGCATCAGATCCCACAGGATAAGGGCTCAGTCCCACGACCTTCCCCCTCACTTCAGACACCAGTTGCAAGTCCAGTTTGTCATCTGTGCTTCTGAGCCATCAGAAGTTCCCATGACCCATTCCTCGGGTTGCATTAATTTGCGAGACTGGCTCATGGAACTCAGAGAAACATTTTACCTACTAGGTAACCTGTTTATTATAAAAAGATATATAGCTCAAGAACAGCCAGACGGAAGAGATGCACAGGGCAAGGTATGGGTAAAGGGCACAGCATCCATGCCCTCTCATAGCCAGCCATTCTTCCCAAATCTCCAACGTGTTCACCAACTCGGAAGCTCTTTGAACCTCATCGTTTTGGATTTGTATGGACGCTCCTTACATAGGCATGACTTGTTGGATCATTGGCCATTGGTGAGTGATTCGACCTCTTACCCTTCTCCCCTCTCCGGAGGTCCAGGGGTGGGACTAAAAATGCCAACTCTCTAATCACGTGGCTGCGTCCTCTGACAACCAGCCCCCATCTTTTGGCTACCTAGGTTCCAAAAGTCACTTCATTAACATAAGAAAAGACACCTTTAGAGCTCTTACCACTTAGGAAATTTAGAGTTTTAGGAGCTCTGTGCCCGAATTGGTGATGAAGACCAAATACATATTTATTATTAATCATAATATCACAACAGTCATTCTGTTCCTTTACCCCTTAAGCATCTAGATGACTTTGGGGTTATACTTAGGAGCTTCATGGTGCTCCTGGGAAGGTGGGGTGGGGGGAGAGACGGTTCTGTGATGCCAGCCCACGCCTGGGTAGAGAGCTACCTAACATAGACCATGAACAAATGAATGAATGCATCAACTAAATCCTGTTTTCACATGGCATTTCATGAAATGACTTTTTTCCATATGAAGTCTCTGATGATGGGAGAAGATGGTGCCATCAGAACTCCTTGAAAGTCACCAAGGGCGAGAGGAAGAGCTGGGATTGGCCCCTCTATCCTGAGGATCTGTCGTCTGTGACTCAACATTGGACTCGGGTGTTGGGTCCCCTTTCAGGAAGGACTCCCTAGTCACAAGGCACTGCTAGCGTCTCCTTCTCAGGAAAGGGGCCCAGAGCTTTGTGGCTGCCGAGATGCATTCTCAGGGACCCTGTGCGAGCCCCGGCAAAGGCCGGCTCTATCCCTCCACATTCTTGTGCTCACCAGAGTAGAAATGCTCAAGGCGACAGGTTAGTGGGTTGTAAAGCACAATGGAGCATCTGGGCAAAGATCATGGACCAGGGCAGAATCGGTGTAACGCTCAAGAGTTTGTCCCCAGTGCCCAGAGTTTTGAGCTACTCTTGGAAAAACAAAGTCACGGGTGTTGGAACCCAGCCTCCTTAGGCAGGGCAGCTGCAGAGGGAAGTAGAATTGCCCCAGAAAAGTGAGCTTCAAGTCCCGGCCTTGACCTGTATACTAGCTGTGTCTCTGATTATTCTCGTTTCAATTTTAAAATCAGAAATAGCTCAAAGAGGTTATGAGGGTTTAATAATAACACTTGAGTGTTTCCTCTGTGCCAGGCACTCTTGTAAGCACTTTATGTGTATTAATTCACTGAACCCTCACAATGACCTTATGAAACAGGTGCTACTATTAACACACATTTATAAAAGAGAAAACTGATGCACAGAGAAGTTAAGCACCTCTCAGAAGGTCACACAGCTGGTAAGTGGGAGGGCCAGGGTCTGAAGCCAGGCAGTTTAGCTCCAGGGTCAGTAACTACACTAGGTAAGAATACGGTCAAATATAAAGGGGGGCAGATAGGAAAAAGTATTCAAATGACTATATTTCACTGATTTTGAAACACACACATTTCCCCCACGTTTTAACATCTTGAAAATCTGAATGCGTCACATTTGAAAAATTCTTAGATTCAATTCATTAGGGAATGAACTTGAGGTGGAACTGATTCCTGAATAATTCTTCCAATTCCAATTTATCTCTTCTTTACTGTAACAAATGTTATTAAAATGAAGCATTTATCTTCCACCTACTGTGAATAGTGGGTGGCCAAGCCCACACTGGAACTGTAAATACCATGTGAGGCCACACGACCTCATCTGGTAACTCTCCCCTCAGGCCCACCGCACTGGTTACGCTGGCCTTGTTCCCGTTTTGAGACACACTTGAGCGTGTAGGTCCCTCTGCCTGGAAATGCTCTTCCTCGTGGTTCACTCTTTAACTTCCTTCTGTTCTGCTCAAACAGGGGGCGCCCTGCCTACCGCTATTTTAACTTGAGTCCTTCCCCCAAACCCACTATCCACTTCTGACTTGCTTTATTCTGTTTATTGCTCACCTCCTTCTGGATGTAAATTCCATGAGGGAAGCATTTCAGTCTGGTTTTCTTGGTTGGTTGGTTGGGTTTTGCTGTTGCATACCCAGGATCTAGAATAGTGCTAAGGACACTGTGGCTTTCAACAAATATTTCTTGAGTGAATGAATGAATGAATGAGGGCTCACTGGAGATTCTTGTTGGATATTGAAGGAAGAGTTACTCAAGAGTATTTGCTTATCTTCAGAGTGGGGAGGCCATGTGGAGAGAGGGGAAGCCGGGCAGAAGGTTTAAAGGACCTGCCTTCTAGACCTTCTCTCATTGCAAGTCCTAGAGGAGTGGCCAATCTTTGGAAAAACTAGGATGGAAACATAACATTTTTGACAGACTGCTAGAGAGCATCTAGATTAATTTTGTCATTTACAAACCAAATGCAAGGCATTAATCTTGCCTGGATCATAGTTTTTAAAAAGAAAGAAAAATTTCTAGTATCATGGGGAGTGGGAAGGGTAAGCTGGGACAAAGTGAGAGAGTGGCATGGACATATATACACTACCAAGTGTAAAATAGATAGCTAGTGGGAAGCAGCCGCATAGCACAGGGAGATCA